GACCGCATAGAGAAGGAGCCTGCGGACAGTCCAATTGTAGTCAGATTAGAAACTGCAGGAAGATTAGTCGTCCGAACCAACTGGAGGATGCACATCTCCGTGCCTCTGCAGACAGGTTTGCACACACAGACACAACCTCGTAGCTCTACATGCATGCTTAACATCTGTGCAGGACAATAAACCTGTAATGCTTTGTTTTGTTTTGTTTTTCTCCCCCCTCCTCCTCCATGGGCGCCCCAGACTTGAGGCGGTTCAGGACCTATAAAGGAAACTCGGTGAGAGACCTGCTGAGGGCCATGAGGAATAAGGTCAGCCAGCATTACAATCATTAGATTCATGCAGAATTATCTTCAACTTTTTATGTTTTTGACTTTTTTTTTGTTTTGTTTTTTGCATTTACATTACAGAAGCATCACTACCACGAGCTCCCACCAGAGGTGCAGGAGACTCTTGGTGAGCTGCCCGAAGGCTTCGTCGGGTACTTCACATCACGGTTTCCACGGTTACTGATGCACACACACGCTGCGCTGCAAATCTGTGCCCATGAAAGACTGTTTCACCCTTACTACCTACCCCCCAATGCCAAATAGCTTTCACAAGGCTATGCACTCCACATTTCATGTGCAGGGCCAAGTAAAAGAAATCCCTGACTGTACCCTGTTATTGCTTTTGTAAAGCCTGTGCTGTTCTTCAGGGGAAGTTGCAGCTGCTCTGAAAATATTTTTATAGAACTTGGGGTTGTTTTATAGATTAATTTTATTGTATTTTTTATTTCTTCCCTACTTAAAGAATGTATATATTTGTATTAATAATAGGATATGTTTTTAAACTAGATCTCAGTCAAATTACTTTTTTTTTAGTCATTTTTTTTTTTTTTTTTTTTTTTTTTTTTAAAGAGAATTGACTGGTCAGAAGGTGCTGTGTTTATTTGTGTAGAAAATAACCTGCCCTTGAGCAAGTACATTGTGTAGCACAAGTTAAAATCAAAGGTGAAAACACAGTGATGGCCGCTTTTATTGAACTGAAACCAAATGAAGTAAAATTATGATAAGTTATATTAACTACTGAAAATAGCCTCTCTGACAGTGGGGATAGTTTTACAGGTTGACAGAATCATGTAGACTGATGCATAATAACTCTGACATGATTAAAGAGTGTGCTGAAGAACTGCAGCAGATCTTGTCTTCATGTTGTCAGCGTAGAGGATAATAACTGGGTGTACAAACATTGTTGAAGCTGTAGGTAAAGCACACACCGCAGATACTGAGGTACACAGTTACACAAGGCTACACACTAATGTTCGTGCTGTGCTTTCTTTAACTGTTCTGGAGACAGTGCCGTACCTGCATAAGTGAAGGTAGTTATACAGCTCCTCCCAGGCATGTTGCCCACTAAAGAGAATACAGTGAATATCACAGTCAGACATCACTGACACACTTCATACGTGGGTAAAGCTGTGAAAACTTGGAAGTTTATTTCTGGTAGAAGACTTGAGGCCACACATCTCGCACGCCCATCCCAGCAGGAGAAGAGGGGAGGCCCCAGATTGGGTGCTCACGGCCAAAGGGTGAGAGTCCCAGCAGACCCGAAGCAACGGGCAGTTGACTGTGGTAGAGGCTGGCTAGCCTGGTACGAGTCAAAAACTGGTGCCCAAGAACCACCCAGCAGCGTCCCGATAAGAGGGAGGTCCAAGCCGCCTCCAGGGCACGGGCCAACAACCACACCAGAACGCACGCACACACACACACACGCACGCACATATGTGCACAAAACACTCCGACCATTCACTCACACCCACCCACTAATGACACAGAGAGACATAAAGACACTTGCACACACATTGACCCCTGGTTTTATGCCAGGTACACCCATTTTTGTCTTCACGTTGAAGAAAAATAAATTTGTTAAAATCTAAGTTATCAAATCCTAACAGGAGCACTTGCAGCATTAAACTGTATACAGCACAGAGTGAGACATGGTGGAAAGCAAGACTTAAAGATGAAGAAGGTAAAGATTTTTTTTTTTAAACACTTTGTTGAATAAGCAAAGACTCATTTCAGACATTTCCTTTTCTGATGTCAATTGTTTATCCTGGTGAGAAAATGTCATTCCTGTGCAGATGAATGTGCCAGAGAGGTACTTACCATTTGAAAATGTCAGTGGGTATAAAAAAAAGACGACAACAACAAAAAAAAACTACTAAACTGACTTTGCTTCATTTTTATGTATTATTTTTATTATTTATTCAGAGTTACACAGTAAAAACAGAATCATTGGATCACAGTAAAAATGCTGCATTGCCTATTTTACTCCAGCAGAGGGAGACATGTGCCAAGCCCAGCTCTGATCATGTAAATGACTTTTCTTGGTAAAGGCTAGAAGTAAAGAGGAAGTCGCAGCTTCTAAATTGCTGTCATACATTAAACAGAATTGTGATTGTAGGGCGATCGTGGCTCAAGAGTTGGAGTTCGTCTTGTAATCGGAAGGTTGCCGGTTCGAGCCCCGGCTCGGACAGTCTCGGTCGTTGTGTCCTTGGGCAAGACACTTCACCTACCCCCTACTGGTGATGGCCAGAGGGGCCGATGGCGCGATATGGCAGCCTCGCCTCTGTCGCTTGCCTTCACCAGTGGTATTGTAAAGCGCTTTGAGGGGTCCCGAAAAGCGCTATATAAATGCAATCCATTATTATTATTGTTATTAAGTAACAGATTAAAGCTGTGTACTTGTGTATATGCGGTCACCGTCCAAACATGCAAAACTGTTCTCTTGCGTTCGCTTTGGCCTGATTAACAATCTGCCCTCAAAAACACATCCCGTAGAGCAGATAAGATGTCAGACATCAGTTAATTCCACTGTCAGTGTGAACTTAAACAGAAGTGGTTTAATGATCTGAAAGCCTGGGGTGCAGCTATCTGTCATGACCAAATCATCAGCTAATGAACCACTCGTTCATACTTTATGCTCGTTTATCTCTGATTCAGTCGTTTGGTGTGTGTGTGTGTGTGTGTGTGTGTGTGTGTGTGTGTGTGTGTGTGTGTGTGTGGAGAAAAACAGAGGGAGTACCCGGCTCATTATTAAATATCAGAGTTCAGCTGTAGGTCCAATCAAAACAGCCTTAGGGAGACATCAGCTTAACCAAAGTCATGAGACCAAATTCACTGCGCTGCACACATGCAGCTGTATACACACTCGCACCCACAGTCACACACACTCGCATACAGATAACAGATAAATGTGCATGATGGCTCTCAGGCCTGTGGATATTCGGGTAGGCAACAATTACGTTATGTTACAGAAAATTGCTGTAACAACAAACAGAAGTCCTCTTTTGATTTCTGTGAGGTGGTTTGTGGCTAAAAATGGTGTTTCTACATTATTCTTTATTTACTTTGGTTGCTAGAGGCAAAATAATAAAAATGGCTACAATCACCTTTTATCCATTGCATTAAAAAGCTTTGCATTATTTCCTGCCATTTTGTGTTTATTTTGGTTTGTTTTTGGCAGAGAAGTGAGTCGTTATTAGCAAGCTGCACATAAAGACTGGATGGCTGCAGTGCACCCATATAAATACCCATCTTAATTAGTGCTAACTATCATATAAATAATATGCAAGTATATAGAATATTCACTGTTCAAAACTGAATTAGGCACCTTACTAATACCTCTCTAATGCTTAACAGTGTGACATTATTATAATGTGCTACCCCAATTTTATATTTTCACTTTGAAATAAACTCCTCCTTTGGTTGAATTGAATTCAACTATAAGAATATCCTGCACAGGCCTGCTGGTGTTGACTATGGTGTAGAATTTAGCATTGATACTCTCTCTCACACTCACGCACACACACACAGGCTACACATCAGACACAAACGTTGAAATGCAGTGCGAGGACGAAATGTCCTGTGCCTCTCAGCTTCTATAAACGAATGCTTCCTTATGTTTCAGAGACCACTGGGATATATTTTTCTGCTCCCTGCTTTTTCCTCTCATCTCCTTTGTACGACACCGCAGGAGGCTGGTTGGGTTTTCTCTGATCTGTGTGTGTGTGTGTGTGAGTTTGTGCTGTGGGGTGAAGAGGGGCAGGCGATCGAAACAGCCTGAGCGATGTCGTTCTGAGTCTCTCCATTTTGGGATCAGGACAGGAAGTGGGCTCAACAGAGGAAACATGACCTCCTCCCCCTTCTCCTCTCTCCCTCCCTCTATCCTCTTACTTTTCCCTGTATTCCCTCTTCCTCCCTTTGTCCCCCCCCCCTTAGTCTGCGCCTACCCATTCACAAGGTCACTCCAGTGTTCTTTTGGAGCCGGGAGCTCTCGTATGGCTGTCACATTCATTTCTGCGGCGTGCCTGAGCGGACCTTAAATTACACTCTGCTTACTTCCTGTGTAAATAAATCTATGTTAACCAGTGATTTCTAAAACAACACTAAAACTCTGGTCTAGTTGTTTCTGGGCTCCCTCCCTCTCTCCTGAGACTTGGAGTCTGTTATGCAGCAGAGCTCCTCTGATTAAAAGCCAAAGCAAAGGTCAGACTCTGCTGGGTAACAGAGATATTGCCCGACTTCAGCTTTACTCTCATGCCCAGTGGTCTGATAGCTCTGGCTGATGAGTTTCATGTTACATTATGTGGGATGAGGGCCTACGGTTAGCCTAGGTTGTAGATCAGTGTGACATTGCTTATCAGGAGCTTCAACTCTCTGGCTTCGCAAGAGAGCTTCTCGTGTTCATAAATACTGATTAAACGGCCCCAGGACATTAGAAAAACATATTTGAATTTATTTCCCCCCATGTTTCTCCTTCGGAGCTCAAAAACATTTCTTAAAAATCCTCACATCTATCTGCCTCCCCCCCCACCCCACCCCTCCTCCCTCAACTCCTCTCCACTAATCTTTCTACCACTCTTCACTTTCCAGCTCAGAGGGTCTCGACCTCTTGCTTTACCGCATACACACTCAAGCACACAAAAGACGGCCACACTGAGAAAATAAAGAAACAGCGTGTCAGCAAACGGCAGTGTATTTCACCACAGAGCACAGAGCCAAGGCACTGGAAAACAAAAAAACAAAGGCAGAAGACCTCCCTCTTTTCATCCCCCCCACCAACCCTCCCGACCTTCATCCTGTTCGCCTTTCAGCGTCTGCATCTGTTTGTTTGTTTCATTGCCTTTTTCTTCCCCAGGCGTTTTCCTTTCTGCTCATTTTCTCTCGGACACATCCAGTGCAATGACGACAATTACAAAATTAAACAAAACGACAAAAAAAAAAAAAAGTTAAGCGTGAGAGGAAAACAAGGTAGGTTAGCTAACAACACCAACAGAGCAGTTATAGTTACAGTGATACCGTTAGACAGAGTGCCGCTTGTATTTTAGGATGTGCACACAGTATCAGTCACATACTTACAGTAATTAATGTACAGGATTTATCCACACAAACACATTTTTAATACAGTATCAGAACGAGGCGAGAGTGGGAACGTTCCCGGTTTGACTCATTTGCCTTCGAGGCAATGCAGACTTATTACTCGGGGTGGGAAGAGCAGCCCGGCTGTGTCCAACTGCTGCATACCGAAATGCAAATCAGGGGTTTTCACTTAACCTCACTTGAATGGAGGGAAAAAAGTAGTTTTTAAAAATGTACAAAGTATGAGGGATGCTCCTGTGAGCAGTTTAACCACCATCAGAAATCAGTGCATAACGTTTGTTAAAACTGCAGATAAGCTACGTAACAGGACAGATTGTGACTGGTTGCATTCATAGTTAACCTGCTGGTTACTTGACTTATAATTTCACCTTTATACCTGCATTACATGTCTGACACTGGAAAAACTTGCACTGAACGAAATATTTCTGCAGTTATCAGATTAACCCAATGCAGAAAAAAAAATCCAGTCATTACATTCAAATCAATCAAATCAAGACATCTTGATGGACTGGGTAATATAAACTCTCTTGTGGCTTTTTCGGTTTTCGCTGTGCACCTCCTGCTGAACAAATATCTGACATTTCAGCTGCTAAATAGTCCACTATGTTCACAGGCTGGCTGCTATTTTTGTCCGGCTGCAGTTTAGCGTTCGGAAAGAAGTGTAGTGTGGTTGGTTTTTAGGACTTTTTTGGGATGGAAACAAGGCCATGAGTGGTGAGAGTGAACCAAACAAGTAACGTTGGAGACTCTAAAACCAAAACAATGAGCTCAAGGACACTATGAAACTTCATATAAAGCTGGAGGGAACTTTAGAGGAGCACGGCGATACACATATTTGTATATATATGCATAGAAATTGTCTGAAGGTCAACAGGCACCAAAAATGCTCTGGTTTCCATTTGCAGTCAAGAACGTCTGACAGATGAACAAGAGGAACACATTTGCCGATGTGCAATTTGGAAAAAAACATCTGCCATCACCTGATTTAAAAAAAACTGCATTCATAAACAATCGGCAATCAATGGAACAGGAAGTCTTAGATCAGACTTACGCTGGACACACCCGAGGGTTTTCAGATGATGATCTGTGAATTTGTTACCTTGAGCCGTTCTTTCCCTTTCATATACGCAGCATTGACCAAAGCTTTTTGAAAATATTGGAACATCTTTAGTGAAATTGTTTTGATTGCAAAATTGAAGTATGTTGTATTTTTAAAAATTTAAATCCGAGTTTTTTTCTTCTTGTTTTCAATGCAGCAGACATTTAAATAAATGATCTCTAGCCGTCGCTTATCACTGAACTTGTATTTCTGACAGTAATCAAATATTTGGATTTGAAGGCAGCACTTCTTTCTGGCAGCTTCCTGTTTTCCTTACACGGCCAACTACTTTGTTCAGGATACTTTCTAGGAACTCATTAGGAAATCACAGACTCGCCAGTCACCAGAACGTGTTTAAACTCGCTTCCCTGTGATGATTTTTTGTTTCTTTTTTTAAAAAAAGTCTGGCTTGTGTAAGTCACTTGTCATTGTCTCAGTGTTTTTGCTAGGAAGGCTTCCCACCCCGACTGCTACAAGTCCAAAATGGCTACAAGAAACACGGGGATAAGGTCATCTGCAGTTCAATCTCTTCATTTTCTGCTGTTCCCGGCACGTTTACGGGACAAAGGGAACAGGAACAAGCAGTGTAACCAGAAGCCAAAGCTTTTTTGTAGATTTTTTAAAATACTTTTTACTATATTTCATTTTATACTGCCTCAGGTCAAGTCTAGGCTATTGTGGTGCATCTACTGGGATGCTATGGAAATCACAGAAGGGAGAGAAAAGCTCGGGAAAGGTGTATGGATTCATACGAAACCAGGAGCTGCGTGCACTTTTCAGAGCTTAGATGAGCCTCTAATTTGACCGTCTACTTCTGAGGAGAAGAACAATGTGTCTATTGTGCCGAGAAGGAGTGGGATTAGAAGAATAAGACTTGTTATCTGCAGCTGTTGATCTCTCGAACAATGGCGGGAACAAGAGAATTAACACAAGACGAGGAAAGAAAAGACGGGGCAGGAGAGGACGAGCGGTGTAGCGCAGCTCAGTCTCACTCCTCTGCTGAAGTTCATTGACAGGAACACTTGTGCAACCTTTTCACATAACACAGCATATGACCAGCATGGACCCCAAACCCCCTTCCCTCTGTCAGGTGTACTTTAAGACAGTATTTTTCAGCTCCAAACCTCGTGTTTTTCCTCCTCGTTTTCTTTCTTTGCGCTTCTTTCCCCTCCCGCGGCGTCTTCACACAGCTCGAGCTACATTTCAACAGGCAGCAGTCTGACTGGGTTTAGTGACATGTTGTCATGAGTCTTATATACAGAAGAGAAAAACAACGTTCAGTGCTCATGTCATGTAGTTGGTGCTTTCTTCTACATTTTTTACACATCTTGGAACCTGTGCAAGGAGAAGCCCACTGTCTTTTTTTCTTTTTCTTTTTTTTTTTTACAGCATTCACACATTTATACAGGTTAAACATAGAGATTCCACAGGGGCCAAAACGTCCAGAGTTGCTTCAGGGCTCCACAGGTTCAGAGGTCACTAAGATCCACTCTGCGTGGGTCAAGTGATGGTTCCACAGGTCAGTGTTGCTTCAGATCAAAGGAGACCTTCTCAGAAGTCCTCCAGGCCTGGATTCACGGCTGGTTTCACAGTTAACAGTCAGAGAGGCCATCGTCTATGACGTGAAGGTCACTGCAGCATTATATCTTTGAGGTTTTCCTGCAGGATGGTGTCCTTCACGGCGTGGAAGACAAAGCGGATGTTTTCTGTGTCTACCGCAGTGGTGAAGTGATGGAAAAGCGGTTTCCCTCGGTTTCTCCTCTTACGACTAAACAACTGCACCAGGAACGCCTGGAAGAAGCAGAGGAGGAAGAGTCTTTATGTGCGTGTGTTCACATGTACTATACTGACGTAAATACAAGATCAGACCGACTTTTATGACATAGCAGGAGGATTGGACTTTTTGGCGGTAAGATATTTTTGTTGTGGAACTATTGTCACATACGTAGTGTTAGAGGGATGGATGTTCATGTTACACATGGCCTAAGCTTCAGATAATGAGGTCAATGTACAGTGGAGAAAAAACACTATTTGATCCATCCCCTGCTTAATTTATACATTTATTCACTTACAAAGATGTGAAGAGTCTCTAATTTTTATGGTATTTTAATTTTAATAGAGAGATATTGCCCCAACAACAAAAAACACACACCCATTACATAAAAGTTATAAATTGATTTGCATGTCTCCCACAGATTGACTATGTTCCACTGTGGGACACAGATTACAATCAATAAATCAATCAGTCAGTTACAGATACTCCTGATATCAGCTTGTCCACTAGACACCGGTCCAGAGAATCCATTTCTCCCATTCCAACCTCTCCACCACCATGAGCCAACTGCTGAAGGACATCAGGGACAAAATTGCAGACATGCACAACTGTTGTAGTGATTGTAAAAGATCAGTCACCCTCGCGATCGGGAGCTCCATGCAAGATCTGGCCTCACAGGGTGAGGTTGAGCATGAGAAAGGTGGTGGATTGGGATAAATTGCTGTGGTCAAACTGAGCTCTTTGGCATCAACTTGACCTGCTGTGTTTGGAGGAGGAGAAATGTTGAGTATGACCCAAAGAACACCACCCTCACAGTCAAGCACGGAGGTGGAAACATTATGCTTTTGTTTTCTGGGGCCACGTACTGCAACAGCCGGAACACTGAAGATGAGTCATGGATGGGCCATCCAGCATGACAATACCCCAAAACATACTGCCAGTGCAACAAAGGAGTGGCTAAAGAAGAAGCACAATCAGATCACGAGTGGCCTCGCCAGCCTCCAGACGCCAAACAGACGAAAATCTGTGGCTGGAGCTAAAGCTTCGAGTTGCCAAGTGGCAGCCAAGAAACCTAATTTATAGACACTTCTGGGAGTTTCTGTAAAGATGAGTGAGAATCCCTTCAAACCTGTTGACCAGCTACAAGAAACATCTTACCATCTTGCCAAAAAGGGTTTCTCCATCAAGTACTAAGTGATGTTTTGCTGGCAGCTCAAATGCTTATTCCACTCAATGACATGCAAATCAATTTCAAACTTTTATGTAATGTGTTTTTTTCTGGATTTCTGGTTGATGCACTGTCTCTGTCTATTAATATGAAACTTTCATAAAGACGAGACACTGTTCATTTCTCTGTGAGTGAGCAAACTTATAAATTCAGCAGAAGATCAAGTGATTATTTCTCCCACTGTATGTGCAAGCACTGCTCTAAACACTGTTTAAATATTTCTACTCTTGATGCTGTAACGACAGCAGATATCCTTAATATGGTCAACTAAGGCTCTGGCTGCAAGCACAGAAGCCCCACCCACCTGCCGTTTAAACCTTCTGTTTGCACAGGAGAACCAATCTGAAGAAAGGAGCTAAGAAAGCTTGCTTCAAACAGTGGATGAACTGAGGGGCCTGATCAGAACAGTGCAAGATAAATAAATCATGCAAAATTAATCCAGTAGAGTCCAAGAATAAAAATCTAGAGCTACAGGGAGCATAATAAGTCTTTTCCAGAAGGGTTCTCAGTAACCAGATAGCATGAAGGTGGAAGCCCTGAAAACAGCTCTCAGTGCTAAGCAAACGTGTTTCAGTGACTCCTTTTCATCCTTCATGAAAGGAAAGGAGCTAATGCTGCTGCTCAGTTTGAAGCGATGCTCTATCTGACGGTTAAAAACAAAACAGTGATCAACACGGCTTACAGGCTGTGAGAAAAATACTGGTGTATTTCCTCTTTTATAACTAGTTAAAATGCTCACATGTTTTAAACCCTTAAAAATATGCTGAAAACTACTAATCTTATGCTTCTGCGCTAAAATCTGCTCGTCACAAAGCCGGCGTCTACAGGAGAAAGGAGCGAGGAGAAAGAGCGAGTCAGCTAAAAATTGTAAAGGTCAGCGGTTCAATACCTGACTGCATTAATGTGCATTTTGAACCCCGAGTATGGATATTAGGTTTAAAGGCATACATGGGATGGATGAGATTTGTAGTAAGAAACCAGTACCAGTACTTAAAAACATTTAGAAAGCTGCACTGTAACACACAGGTTGCAGAGAAACCCAGGTAGTATTAGTAATGCGCTCGTTTTGAGTGTTGCTCTATAATCCAGCTTTTAGGATTATCATTAATTATCTTGACTTCAGTCACGGATGCTAAAAGCCTTATTAAAGAAGCAACCTGGATTATCTCTGCAGAAACGAGAGAAAATATGAGTTGGCAGAAAAACAAGCCTTTAATTAGCAGTATTAATGTTAACTGTATTTCTTTTTAAAAATAAAGCCTTGGTAATAAACTGATGTCTTTATAAATGCTCCTTTACATCTTTCATCGTTGCCCATAACAACCTACGTGTGTGATGACAGAAATTTCGGTCCTTATAAGCTTACATGGTAAACAGATAGAGCCTTTCTACTCTACTGAGCACTCAAAGCTCTTTATACAACTTGCCTCAGTTACCCATTCTCTCCCATTTATGCAAACCCTTCCTTATGTAAGTTCTTTTTATCTAACATTTACACAACTGGGATTACTATCTTGTCCGAGGATATTTGGCATGCAGACTTCCGATTAGCAGATGACCTGCTACAGCAACCCATGTATGGGCAGCTTCTTCTGGAATGCATGAAAGTTACCACTGTTGCAAAGCTGCGTTGAGAAAGATAATGGAGCACTTTAGGAAGACGCTCAAAATCTGCAACTGCATTCAGAGTTTTGTGAAACCTCGGGTTACCTGTACGTCCTCTAGCCTGCGAGGGTCTCCTCTGAACTCAGGAAAGTTCTTGCGAATGTCGGCCGTGCGAATCTTTTCCACCAGCAAGTCCGTCTTGTTGAGGAAGAGGATGATGGACACGTTCAGGAAGAGCTTGTTGTTGACGATGGTCTCGAAGATGTTCATACTCTCGACCAGACGGTTTGTCCTGCGGTCCTCCATCAAGACCTGGAATCACATTGGCTCAACATTATTCTTTGTCTAGTTTTATTTTTTTCAGGTCTTATCTGCATGCCAATTAAGGGTTCAGTCGTCATCATATGACCGCTGACTTGAACTCGAGCCACGACTGTGGGAACAATGAAGTTTCCTCAGCGCACCACAAAGAGGGCTTTGTGTTTACCGCAAATGTTGTGTGTCTCTCTGATGTTTCTTGTGCATTTCGCAATCCCAATAGTCAAGAGACTCGTCTGCCAAACGCTCCGACTGCATCAGCATTTCATAATTGGGCTGATAACGTGGGTTTTTTTTTTTTTGTGTGTGCACGTACCTGGTCGTACTCCGACGACGAGGCCATGAAGAGTATCGAGGTTATCCCGTCGAAGCACTGAAACCACTTCTGCCTCTGGGACCGCTGCCCTCCAACATCCACCATCTTAAAGGGAATCTTTTTGATGACAAAGTCGTGCTCGACAATCCCTTTAGTCGCCTTCCTCGCAAACAAAATGTCTTGCTTGCTGGGAATGTAGCTCTGAAAAAGGATATGAGAACATTGTCTTGCAAAGTAAAAAGTACAGAGTGTGCTTCAGATTTAACCAGTCACTATGACTCACCAGTTGTCCAATACGATCCAAGTTATCCAAGAAGTATTTGACCGACTCACTCTGCAGACGAGAAGGAAAGAATCTATTACAGCCGCGACACAGACCTGAGTCATCTTATACGCATTAAGGAAACTTAAAAGACTCAAAATAATCAAATTATGGCTCTTGATCACATTATCGGAACGATTTCATTTCTTGTATTTCTTCCTTCTTTAATTCTCATTTCCATGGAAGCTGTCGTATTGTGGTTATTAATTTAACAAGACATCAATCGTTGCAACAAAGGACAGAAACCATGTGAACGACCACAATCATATTAGTCCCATCACATCTGCGCAGCTCGCAGCTTGATCACATCTAGTTATCGTGTCACACAGAACCTGCCACGAGTCCGCAGCTCTTCAAAGCTCAAGATGACATTCAAGCTGCACTGATCCACATTTTCCAATCAACAAAGGATCAAACAGTGACTTTTAATGTGAAAAATCGCAGTTACAAACCCGCAGAGAATATAAACCCGAGGTGCGGCTCACCACAGGTTTTGGCTTCTTTCGGCTCATTGTGCTGGTGTGACAGCCCCGTGTTGTGATCTAAAGATCAGCCGTTAGAGAGAAAAACAGTTTTCTATAGAGGCCCACAATCACACCCCCACAGTTTTAACGCTGTTCTGACATCGCGTTTATCGAGTTTGTGGCAGAAACGACTCGGATTTGCCCTGACGATCATTTTAGAGTAAACATTAGCATGCCAGATACATTTAACTAGACATATGTGAACGTGGGAAACAATAAGGTTGTAGTTATATTCCCATCATGACTTATCTGTGCATGCTTCACATCGTGACCCCTATGCAAATATGCGTTTTAAATATCTCTTTGTTTTCGACTTCGTCTCTGTAAAGCACTCTGAACGACCTTGTTTCTGAACACAGCTGTTTGATTTGACTGCACCAATTTTCCAGCTGGAGCAGAGAGCTATTTTCACATTTAATAAACTTACAGTGAATAATCTGCCTAACGGCAAACAGCAGCCAGACAAAGTTAAACACAGAGATATTTCACTTTGCGTTTCAGGACACAATAAAAATAATCTGCTCCCTACCAGGTCTTAAAATTCAACAACATCCTGATAGATAGTTACACTTTGTTACTATATATTCATTAAAAAAATGTGTGTGAAAAGCCAAGTACATCCTTACTCCTTATAATGGTAATTAGCAACCAGGTGCACTTGATTAACTGATCATCAGCAAGTGTAAACACAGCAATTAGGTGTTTGTTAGCACAACGCCAAGGAGGAAAGCCTTTACCGATGATCTTAAAGAAGTTAATTGTTTCAATGTGGGAAGGACTATAAAGCCATTTTAAAGTAACTTTAATCCCATCACTCTGCAGGGAGAAAGATTATTGACAAATGGAAAACAGTCAAGACAGATGCCAATCTTTGCAGGGGTGGAAGGTCCAAAAAACTGAAAAGCCACATCTCAGGCTCTGGAGGCCTCAGTTAGCATGTTAAATGTTAAAGTTCATGACAGTACAATCAGAAAAACACTGAACAGGCATGACTTGTTTGGAATGGCTGCAAGGAGAAAGACACTCTGAAAAGATCATGGCAGCGCAGCTTTGCAAAACTGCATCTGAAGAACTCAGAGATCTGGAACGCTGTTCTTTAGACAGATGACAACAAGGCAGATGATGTTTAGAAATAATGCACAATGCCACAAAAGACAGTATATCAACGCAAACGCCTCATGACAGCTGTCAGCACGGTGATGGAGGGGTGATGATTTGGGCTTGTTTTGCAGCCACATAACCTGGGCACTCACGTAGTCCCTGAGTGTATCATGACCTCCTCTGTGTACCAAAGTATTCTAGAGTCTAATGTGAGGCCATCTGTCTGACAAGATAAAGCTTTGTCTAAATTGGTTCATCCAATATGTCAATGAGCCCAAGCACAGCAGCAAATCAGAGGAGCTGAAAAAGAAAAGAATGAAGGTGCTGCAACGGACAAGTCAAAGTCCAGCCCTGTCTGAGGCTGTATTTACATCATTTTAAGACTTGTGCTGGCTATGGTACACAGATGGTGTCCTTTCTTTTTACCATGACTGTATACAGACCAGAAATACTCGCACAAATGAGAGATTATAACAGACAACACACTGCACAAAAGGTAGGCTGTGGCGTCACAAGGCGACCCTGTGATAAATAAATCTGGTCTCACGTGGGCACGTATCAAAACACAACCTGACTTCCACACACAGCCGATTTACACGGAGAAGGGAAATGAAACCGAGGATAAGAAAATGTGATGAACGTGACTTAATTCACAGGAATAAGGAAACACAATAAGATGACTCATGCGTCACGCTGTACAGTTTCACCATGTTCCAGTCTATAGAAAGAACATGATTCGAATCATTTCATATCCTCTGCAAACATCCACCGAATCAGTCATCAGGGAAGTACCTAAAAATTACCACAGTGTCTGCGCTGAACACACAAAACTTAATTTGGTGGAATATCCCAGTGTGCTATCAACTCTTTCACTTTAGATCACACAAGATTATCCAAGATCTTTGCCGACTCTTTCTGAATGCATATAGCACAGCTGAAGTTTTTGGATGTAGCTTTCCTGATACTTCAGACAGCGGTTGGTTCCTTTCATGTTTGCTAGCTTCGAAACTCAATTAGACAACTGTTGAAACTTGAGATGTGTAGTCCATTACTATGAGCACCATGTGTGCTTTTTTGTCACTGCTCCACCATCCACTGTTGTATAGTAATGTGGTTTAAGCGCACACCGATCTTCACTGCAATGGATCGCACAGCTCACTCAGGTTTTAAGAGGCTGCTAATTGATTTTCATGCTGCTTGGAAATGAATGAGACCAGCGGGTGCCTGCAGCAGAGGAAAAAGGTTTATTTGGTTTCTCTACAGCACGGGAGCTTGATCTTCAGAGTGTCGTGCTATTCTCATGTGCTGTAAATGGGCTGAAAGCAAGCAGGAATAATAGGTATATGCATTTCAAACTGGAATCAGGCTGATTCCCAACAAAAGTTTAAAAATGAACCTTTCTCTTCCTCCCTCAGGAAACAGCTGTGCGTGTGAAAACAGGAGAGGAGAGGGGGAGGGAGGGATTAGCGAGTCAGACAGAACTCAAAGTTTCAAAGTCAGTTTAGCACTTGCATCACACGCACACACTACAATATAACATTATTCCTCTGTAATGCCGTGCTGACAGCAGCTTTTTCCAGATGTTTCGGTTTCTTTCAAACTGATCAACGAGCAACAGTTACAAAAAAACTCCAAAAAACAACTCTTACTCTTCATGTTGGCCCTGACATGCCCCATAACAACCAGGAAACGTGACCTCTGAGTGGGTGAGATGTGAACCGGTGACCCCGCTGCTGACCTACGGTGTCATTGGCAATAGGAAACACAAAGCCGGGGGGCTCTGATTGGTTCAGCCGGACACGAACGGCAGGGGAGGCTGGTTGGAGGGAAAAGCAGGGAGAGGGGAATTCCCAGAGATGAAGGGATACGCAGACACACCAGACAGACACAGACACGCACATGAGTGTGCGCCCGCAGACGCAATGACACGCACGCACACGTGCTCAAGCACAGATCGTTTCCACGGGCGCTTCAACTGCCATCAGCACAAATGAAACAGTCCGATCATTCATGCAGTCGAAGCTTCAGACTGAATTTATTTTATTAGATCAAGGATGGATTTTAGTGCCTGGTAATGCAGAGCTGTAAATGAATAAAATATAGTTCTGGGCGTGCATGTGGGCGTGAGCACGTATGTGTGCGAGCGTGCATGTATGTGAGCCCGTGTGTGAGTGTGCATTTGTGTGTGTGTTGAGTAAGGCAGGAGGAATGTCTCCATTCATGGTGTGAATGGGCAGATTAGAGGCTTTATTCCAGCAAAGACCTGAATAAGCTCCTGTTCTGTGTGTGTGTGTGTGTGTGTGTGTGTGTGTGTGTGTGTGTGTGTGTGTGTG